TTTCTGCAGCTGGCAAGGGGGCTTCTGGCACTTGCATTGCCTCGGCCAGCTCATCCTTGTACTCAGCCAGGCTATCCTGCAGTGCTTGGGATAGCTGCCTGCATTCCACCTTGGGTTGCATGTTGCTTTGCCACTCTGCTGGACTCCACTTGGCACCCCATTCATATCTGCCCTTGGAGCACAGCTTTGCAGGAGCATGAGGATCCAACATATAGAACCCTTTGCAAAGCATATTGGCGCATAGTCCTTGGCGCAAGTAGTTGCGCGTGTTGCACAACATGCAATCTCGCAGGCTGCTCAGCTCCTGCAATTGTGGAATTTCTTCATCTTCGATTTTTACCTGCATCAGTGCCGGCTGTTGGACTTTCTCAGCTTTTGGATCTCCTGATGTTTCTGCAGCTTCTGCAGCTGCTAGTGCCTCTGCAGCTGCAAGTTCCTGCATTTCCAAGGCACGATGCATTTCTTTGATCTCTTGATTTGCCAGCATAATATTTTTATCTTTTTCCTTCTCCTTCTCCTCAATGGCTTTCAGGACCTCTTCCCTGCGTGCCAATTGCTCCTCCTGTTTTCTTCTGAGTTCAATTTCTTTCTGAATTCTTTCCATCTGGAGGGTTCTGTCCATATGCTTCAAAGCATCTGATTCTTCATACTGTTCTTGATGGCGATCTAATGCCTTCAGGGCTGACTTGGCTGTGTCCCGGCGCATCTGCTTCTGGTGTCGTTTTTGAATGATACCATCATTCGAGTGGCCCTGCTTTTTCCATTCTTCCTCTGATGAGCTCTCCTCACCAGCAGGTGTTTCTGGCAGATTGGGATCTCTTTCCTTCTGCTCTTCCTCATCCTCTTCCTTGTCTTCATCTTCTCCTTCTGGATGAGGTTCACCTCCATCTCCTCCATTTCCATCTCCTCCATCTCCTTCTCCTCCCTCACCTCCTGCACCATTTCCTCCTTCACCTCCTGCACCATCTCCTCCATTCTCACCTCCTGCGTTTCCTCCCCCCTCACCTCCTGCACCATTTCCCTAACCTCCTGCACCATTTCCTCCAGCAGGTGCATTTCCTCGACCTTCCTCATCAGAGACTTCTGCTGGTACATCAGCTGTGCCATCTGCTTTGTCGTATACCTGGCATGCATGCAAAGCCTCCTCTAAGGAGTGTTTATTAAATTGGAAGCTCTGAGGATTGCTTTTAAACACAAATGAATGTATATGTGAGCAAAGAAACACTGAGCATCACTCCTCTGAGGAGTGCTCCTGATCACAAATGATGTATGTGGACCAAACAAGGTAAACATCACTGAGGAGTGTACAAAAACACCTTGAGACATGAGACTTTGTTTCAGACAAAAACCAGACCTGGCCTCAGTCTCTTCCACGAAGGCATTCTTCCTCTCATAGATCTCAGCTGGAGCACTTGTGTCGAATCCTTCCCTAAGCATCTTTCCCAAAGCCATCAGTGTTGGCATTCGACAACTGCTTGGCTGGGGCCAGAAAGAGCTGCACAGTTTCCACATAGTTCAACAAGAATGCTACACAATCCAACCTCCTCCAACCAAGTACTTGTTTCTGATACTTTCAATTCTAATACATGAGACATAAAAAACTGAAAAAATGAGACGCTGCAACATGAAACATGCAACTCAACCTACTCTGTCCACCAGAACCCATTGGGAATCCAGACATCTCGATCCTCTGAGGAGATGTTGCACATAGTGGCATGGGGCTGCACCTGGCATGGCTGCTGGATAGAAGGAAACCAACACAAATATGAGGGAAGGAATGAAAGGGAACACATTTTTATATCAATACATGTTTCAATATATTAAAACATCACTCCTCTGAGGAGTACATCTTTCCATATATTTCTTTGAGGTTGTTTGTTTGTTGGTTGACATGATTGGTAACAGAACAACACACATATGAGTGGAGTTAAAAAAAACATCTGTCCACCCCTTTGTTGGTTACCACTTGTTACACCCCTGGTATTCCCCCATATATTATACTCCTTGGCTATCACTATCACTTTTACATATTTTTGAACCCTTTGGCTACCACTCTTACATCTCTTTTCCCCTTTTGCACCCCTTTTACATATTGTTCAACCCTTTGGCTACCACTCATACATCCCTTTTCCCCTACTACACCCCTTTTGCATATTTTTGAACCCTTTGGCTACCACTCTTACATCCCTTTTTTCCCCTATATTACACCCCTTTTACATATTGTTGAACCCTTTGGCTACCACTCTTACATCCCTTTTCCCCTATTACACCACAAACAGCTGAATGCTATTGTTTTATATTTTTTTGCCCTGAAAGTCTTGAGCTCTGCGGGTGTGTGAAACTTCAATCTCTTTCTTTCAACTTTTCTTTGGCCCAGGCAACAACATCTAGTTCGTTTTCTCCATTTCTATCCATTTGTCAATTTTTCCCTGACTTGATCAGCCATGGTGGCAAGCTCCTGCTTGCTGAATCTCCAAGTGTCTCTGTGCTTCAGCTCTATGATCTGCCTTTTAAAGTCTTTGGTTCCATCTTTCCATTTTTTCCTGATTGCAAATGCATTAGTCTGGGTTCTATATTCTTTCACAAAATTCCCACTGTTCGGTTCTGCTGGAGCAGCAGGCTCACTAGGCAAAATGCTAGCAGGCCTTTTCAAGACACCAGCAGCCTTAGCATTAGCTTTGCCCTTGGCCTTGGCCTTGGCTTTTTTAGGCTCAGCCTTCAAAAGTTTTTCCCATTGCATAGTGGGCATTTCAGTTGTGATCCAATCTTCTCCTTCGAATCTGGCAAGCACAAAGCCTTGGTCACCTGCCTTGCACTCAGCAAGCTCCAAGTCACCAGCAGCATCCCCTCTTCTGACAAAAGTGTGCAGCATTGGGTCAAAACAAAGGCCTTTGCCTTGAACTGGCAGTGCTGGGCCCGCTGCAGAAGAAGAAGGTAAAGGAAGATGTGCTTGGTCATGTCCTTCTTCTCCAGAAGACACAAAGACAGGTTCCTCGGATTTCTGCTGAAGCAATTGGTCGCTGCTCTGCAAAAGGCCAGCATACAATTCTTCCACAGAAGTTTCTCTAGCTGGTGCAGATGAAGCCAAAGGTGTTGCTGCCTTCTTCCTCCTTTTGGGAGAAGGTGTTGATGCAATGGAGATCTTCTTTTCCAAGGTTCTCTTCTTGGCATGAGCTAACAACTTTTCACCCAGACCTTGTGGATCTTTCTCAGACTCCTTGGACATTGCCTTCACAATTCGGCGTACAGCAGGGGGCAACTTCTGCCCAGTCTTCATCCTCAGTTTCTTTCTATGACAGAAGCTAGCAACTTCAGAAAACCTCTGAGCAAAGCTGCCACAAATGTCTTTGTCGCATTTCTGAAAAGTTCTTTCACAGGCCCCCAAGATCCAAGTCTTTGTAGGCCTGACACTCAACAGAATCATCTCCATTAGGAAGTCCTCATATTGAATCACTATCTCCTCACAAGTGCCTTTGTTCCATATTTGCTGCCTAGAAAGTCCAGTGGGGAAAAAAACTTGAGTGCTTTGCCCAAGTCCAAAGGGCTGGCACTAGTCACTATTCGATCTTCTCTTGACAAGAGCCATATTTGCTTGAGCCAAACATCACATAGAGAAATTTGATGACAAAGGTGCAGCTTCAACTTGCAAGCCTGCAGAAAAACAAAACAAGCCAGAAGCACCTGTGTGGTTGCCAACCTTCTGGGCATGCAAGGCACAGAAAACTTGGTTTGAGCCAATGATCTCCTCAAAGGAGATCAAGATACAGCAAACATGATTTCATCAATGTTTCATCAAAAAAACATCAATGAAAAGGCAAAAGATCCAGAGACCTTAATTAAGTGATCTGGCCAAAATTCCAGATCACTTAATTAAGGTCTCCAAAACCATGATTTTTGGCAAACCTCCAGATCACTTAATTAAGGTAGCTACCTTAATTAAGGACTTTTGGAAGCTCTGGGAATCTCCATGGTTTTGTCGTTTTGCGGACAGGAAATGCAAAAGATTCGAGGTCAGCCGTATGAGGGTTGGAAGCAATGTTTCCGTAGTGTCAATGTGACGCATCATGCCTGGTCGATGGACGATGTCAAAACCAACCACGCGGCAAGACCAGAGGTCTGTGCCGACATGGCCCAACAATGGTTCACAATGTGGATCCAAATGTGCGAGAAGCTGAGGCTATACGAAACAGCCTGCGCTGATGCAAGCCTGCCTTTGACAGTACTATTTCATTGCTTTGGCGGAATCCATCGTAGCAGCGCTGCTTTGTGTGCATAGCTGTTGTTTCGCCATGACCTGTCACACATGGAATCTTTGTGTTTGCTCCTAAAAGTTCGACCCTCTTTGGCACCGTGGACGCAAAGAGATCATGTTTTTTGGGTGCTACATGAATGGTATTGTCAGCGTGAAGCATCGCGCGATCATGTGAGGTTGACAACCTGCCGGCCTGAGTGAGTATGACCTGTATAGCAGAGTATGACCTGTATAGCATATGTTCCAATATGAGCAACGCGTCGGTGTGACCAGTTGCGCGAGTCTCACAGCAGCGGCACCTGCGGACGCAAGAAATAAATTGCATAAACATGTCATAAAAATCAGTGCTGTTTTGCACATGAACCGGTGGTAGCTGTTTTGCACATGAACCGGTGGTAGCCATGTAGAAAACATATCCAGTGTCCATCCGTTTTTCATGCCTGCATCACGTCGTGTCGCGCATGGGTCTGACAAGCCGCTTCACTCAAGATACCTCGCTTTGATGCTATCGAACATGAGCAGCCACACCGGTAGAAACTCGTGTTGTTTTTCCACGTTTGCGATTTTTCTCGGCAGGTCTGATGATGGCTTCGTGTCGGTGCCTCTTCATTGTGTATTGCGCACATGAGACAGTTATGGGTTGCAAAGCTGCTTTGTGATAGATAACTCTACGTGTCCTCAGCTGGTTGACATCAGTCGTTGTGACATCAAGCGTGACAACTCTGAGTCGGTGTGACGAAGAGCAGCCATGTCGGCGCCTGTGCTGCTGAAACCTTCGGAATATCAAGGTGCACAGGGCACTGCTGTGGCTGGTCATTGTCATTTGCACCAAGCAGAAGGTTGAAAGTCGAAGCAAAACATCATCTCCGGCCGCCCCTTCGAAGGGCAAGGGCGGCAAAGGAAAGGCCGGCAAAGCAACTCTAACGAGCAGTTCGACCAAGATTGAGCTGCATCTCAGCGCCACAGAGAGCGCTTCGGAGGTTCTTTACGTGGAAGCTTGGGGGGAGCCTGCTCAGCAAGTCCAAAAGAAATGCTCAGGTCGGTGATTTGGTCACCATTTCCGGCGGAACTATCATTTCCGCCGCACAACAGTATTCCACGTCCAAGTTGCACTATCATCTTCGTCTCAAAGGCGTTTGGTGTGTGCAAATCATCATTGCCAAGGTTGAAACTTTGCCGTGGTCGCTGCCGCCCAAGACACATCCACTGGTGCCGTTGGTGTCCTTGTCGCGCGTGCGTGATCGGCAGCAGATTTGTGTGGCGGCTGTGGTGGTGGAGAATCCAGGTAGCTCGGAAAGATTGACCAGCAACGGGACGGCGTCGGTGTGCAATGCCACCATACAAGAAGGGATGACGAGAGTGCGATGTGCTTTCTGGAGAGATATGGCTGACAAGCTGGCGTCCGTTGCTGTCAATACGTGCATTTTGTTGTACCAGGTGCTTGTCTCGAAGAAGCCTGGAGATACTGCATCATGGGAACTCGGTAGCTGGCGTGGAACGCAGATTCTGCCTTGTCCGGATGAATTGGCAGAGCAGGTGAAACTTGACTTGACGTAGTTCGCAACCAATTACATGACAATCTGCAGACATATCTTGACGTCATTTCCTGTTCTAGTTCACATTATCAATGTTGTTCTGTTTTCTGAACTATTTGTATGCAGCATGCTTAGAAGTTGCTACTTTCCTTGTCTGTTGCGGTAAGACGGCAGGCTTGGGTGACAAAGATGATTGCCGCATGTTGACAAACATTCCGGTCAAAGACTACAAGAACTGCCCTGCTGTTGCAACCTCTCTGGGTTGCCTCATTGGTGTGATCGTGCCTGGATCTCTACGAAAGGTCGACACCGTTTTCGAAGTCATTGGCTTGCAGGTGATGGGCATCACGTCTGTGCGGAGCGAGACGGATGAGTGGCTGTTGGTGAGTTGCTGTACGTGCAAGCGAGCAGCGCCTTGCCAGGCTTGTGTCGGGCAGTCATCACCTCGTGCTGCAACATGCCTTGCTCGTGTTTCCTTTTTTGAGTCACCTATAACGCCTATAATAGAGTTATATAAAATCACCAAACTAGATGCGTGGGACTGTGACCCGAACGAATGGCCCTGTATAGGTGCACCCCACCGCCCAGACCGAGCGACGCCTCGCTGTTCGCTTGACTTTGGCAGATTCGAACGCCCAGTGCAGCGTGGTGGTTTACCACGATGCGCTTTTGTCTACCGCCAAGCAGTTGAGCGTGGCTTTGGGTGAACCTCTGCAGGACACGGCAGCGTTCCGGATCACCATTCGTGACATGTTTCGGAGCGCTCAGTGGTTGCCGCTAGACCTTTCGTGACAACGAATACCAAGAGGTGATGGAACTTGATCTCCGCTACATGGAGCCTTGTTTGGTGGCCGGTGGCAACTTTGTTCCTGACTCTTCTGAAAAAACTGCAGCGCAAGGTTCCACATCACCATCTGCACGCAGGATGTCCGGTGGTGGCTCTTCGTGATGTGACAGAGGAAAAGGACCTTGGGATGTTTGCTTTTGGCCAGATCGATGCCAACACGCTACGTGCTTTGGTGGCGTTCAATGATGTGAATCTCGAAGATGATGAGGTTTTGCAACAAGACCCCAACACGGCGTCGGCCATCCGTGTCAAGCGATCGGTCGATTGTGTGTTGTCCGAGAACGCGGGGGGGACAGAGGCCGTGCCCCATCGAGTCAAGCTACGTTGTGCCGGTCCTGCTTCGGCGGTCAACTGGATGCTCCGAGCCCAGCCTGGTCAAGTCTTTCAAGTCGTGCTTGGTCAGACGGAGAGTCTGGTTGAATATTCGGTCTTGTGGCATGTGCCGGTCGCAGCGGAACGGGTGCCGGCTGCAACGAGCTTTTGGAAGCACATCAGCATCACTGAATCTCAGGAGGACGGTTTCAAGTTTGACAAGGATTGGAGCACTCCGTTGAAACGCCTTCGTGGCATGAGAGACGGCTTACCGCAAGAGGAACGTGACAGCGCCGCTTGGCTAGGAGACGCGTTCATGGCTTCTTGAAATTGTAGACTTCTTTTGGATGTGTCCGCATGTCGTGGTGATGAGTCGGTGTGACAATATCGCCTGCAATTTTGATCGCGACGGGTGACTGTTTCAAGGTCTTGCACCAGTCGACTTTACTATACGAACCTATTCATAGTGAGTCTTTATGATGTATCCAATCTACATGACCAAATCTATTTGCCTTGTTGGAAATACTCTTGGGTCATTGGGTTATGGTGCGAGTCAACAGAAAGGATTGAAATCGCCGTCTCTCTTCGGACGTGCTGGCTATGTGTGAGTCGCTCTGACAAATTGTTCAGAGCATGCCCTGATCGTTCATGCCAAAAAAATCCTTCCTTTTCTTGTGCTTGTTTTGATATCTTGTGAACCTGACGCACTTTAGAACCTTGTGTAGTCGCATTACAGCAATGACACATCCTTCAACTTTAGTATCTTGTTGTTTGCACGAGAGGAACTCGTACTCACAACACTGTTGTGGCCACGAGGCACCGCTGCTTGTCTTTGAAACTGGAACAGCCGCTGCTAGATTTCGTTTGCCACCTCGGGTGTGACAACCTTGGGTTCATTTGCAGTTTTGCATCAAAACCTCCGACTCCGCTGCCTTCCAACTATCCCGGTCTTCCCATGCAGACCGCCGGCATTGTGAATTTTGCAATCGTGGTCAGTATTGGCATGCAATTTTTGCAGGGTTCCGCCACGGAAACCCGTCTGGTACAATTTGAGCAGCTAGCCGCGGCTGCCGCCGCTTTGATCCAACACATTGGTCGGCCTCCCTTCATGCTTTCGATGTACAATTTGTGAGTGTCTGTCACGAATTGTCTTGCAGTATTCGAGAAAGCTCTGTTCCCTGACCAGAATGTTCAAACGTCGACGTCGCTGCCTATCCCACCACGCAACCGCCCTTTGTCTGCAGTGATGGAAGATACATTTCGAGACTCAGCATACCTCATCCCGATTGCAATCACAAACTTGGCATCGTTTACACAATGGTATCGAGAGAAGTTCGATGTTCAGTTGCACCATGAAACCACGCAAATGCTGGAAGATTCGGCCTTGTTATTTGAGACGGCCAATCATTTCCTTATGCTTTGCAGAGCCAATGACGTCGAACCCACGGCGGAAATGGCAGACTCTACTGCATGGCGGTCATGAAACCGCTCCTGCAGCTGCTGCACCAGTACTAGCTCCTGACCCAATAGTGATGGATCCTTGGACGGATTCCCCACCGTGAGAAAATTGACGCTGAGGTGTACTGAAGTGTACACGGTCACCGTGTGAGTCGGTGTGACCAACATGGTGGCGGACGGGATGCATAGCTTCAGCCATTGTTGTTTTTCATTTGGCAATGCTTTCAGATTGCTGCATACAATGTCTTTACAAGTCATTGAACTGTGCCGTGTGGATGTGCTAATGCATTCTTTCTTTGCAATTGTGTGTCCTTGCGCGACGCACTGACTCCGGTGAAGTTGCGCTGACAAAAAATGATTGGAGAGTTGCTTGTACGCGGTGACTACTGCAAGACTGCCTGAGTGTTGTTTTTTCAAGACACACAAGCAATCATTTCGTGGCTATCCCTTCTGACGAAGCAGAAAAATGGCAGAAGTTTTTATGTTGACCTGCGCAGGCGTTGTTATTTATGGACACACAAGCCGTCACTTCGTGCTTATCACTGCTGATGGCTCAGATCTGGCGTGCAGGAGTTTTCATGTTGACCTAGCATTCCCTTCTTCAACAGCTCGTGGGAAATTGATATGTGATATGTGTGACTTTCGGGTCGTTTATTAAAGTTATGTGAACATTGGAATGGGAATAGTACACCAAACTGATTTATCTTATTCAGAGCGGTTGAAACTGCGTGTGAGTAGCTGAAGCCCTTAAGAGCCGGTTGCCCCGGTGCGTGCCTCCATGCCTGGTAGCTTTCTTGGTAGCTATCCAGCTTGGGGTGTGTGTGGGCAGAACTTGGTGAATCACAGGTTATGAGCCCAAATGTGGCCATTGCGCGGCTTTGATGCCCGCTGGGAATGCTTCTTGCATGTGTGGTGAAGCTGGGAGATCTGCGGTGTGCAGGGCCTGTTCGACAAAGAAGTTGGAGGGCGAGTCTTTGCCTCAAAAAGCGGGGGACGCGAGGCGTCTCAGAAAGCGGGGGGCCGATGCAGTTCATCAGCGAGAAGTTTGGCTTTTGAAGTTTGGCGAGGCGCCTAACAGTTGGTGCGGTGGCTCAAGCCCAACGGCCTCTGCCAGGTTGCATACACTACACTCTGCATGCCTGAGCTGCAGAGTGGGGGGAGTGCGTGTGAGTAGCTGAAGCCCTTAAGAGCCGGTTGCCCCGGTGCGTGCCTCCATGCCTGGTAGCTTTCTTGGTAGCTATCCAGCTTGGGGTGTGTGTGGGCAGAACTTGGTGAATCACAGGTTATGAGCCCAACTCCCTATGTCGCATAGCTCATCAATGTCGACCACTAGAGAGGTGTCTAGCCATGGAGGTATGGATGATAGGAGAACACCAGGTGAGCCCATCTCATATGGTCCAGGGGGTCCTCAGAATGCCAACCCTTTCTGGAGTGAAAGGGTCAGGGACGACATGGCGCTTCGAGCCCTGCGACCAAGTTTTTTGCCACCAACTTCTGATTCTGAAGAACTAGTTCCTGTGGAGGGGGCTAGGGCAGCGGATGCTCTTCAGTTGTCAGCTCTGAGAATGGTAGAAAATGATGGAAGTATGGGAATGAATCCGGGTGTTTCTTCTTTCATGCAAGGAGCGGTCCCTTCTTTTGAATCTTCAAACTATCGACAAGACATAGCCACTGTTTTGCGAGTCATACTGTCTCAGAATCAGGAACTTGCTCGGGAGGTTGCGAGGCTGAGGAGGCAGGTAGAAGAGGGTTCAGGTGTGATGGAAGGGAGGTCAGGTGGGTTGACAGCGAGTGAGGGAAGGCGACAGATTCAAGAAGGAGCCCATCAAGAACGTTTTAGGGCTCTTGAGGGTCTGACGGAGAATCCAAAGGGTCCAGGAGCACCGGGCGATGCATCCTTTGTTGGAGCCCTGGTTGAGGTGGAGGCTGTGACTGGAGGAGAGTCGCGGCCATGCCCTCCTAGGAAGACCGGTGATCCGGTGGAGCAGAGCCTGGCGGTGACATCTGCTACTTCATCATCCTTGGGTCCATCAGCACAACTCCAATCCCTGGTTGAGGTGGAGGCTGTGACTGGAGGAGAGTCGCGGCCATGCCCTCCCAGGAAGACCGCTCCGGCGGTAGGGGAGAGCCTTGTGGTGTCTGGAGTTATTGCACCCTTGGCCCCCACAAACCAACTCCAATCCCTGGTTGAGGTGGAGGCTGTGACTGGAGGAGAGTCGCGGCCATGCCCTCCCAGGAAGACCGCTGTTGCGGTAAGGGAGAGCCTCGTGGTGCCTGATGGTATTGCACCCTTGGCCCCCGCAAGTCAACTTCAATTCCTGGCTGCAGCGCCGGCTGTGACTGGAGGAGAGTCGCGGCCTGGCGATCCCAGGGCCCTGGTTGAGGTAGAGGCTGTGGCTGGAGGAGAGCCGCGGCCATGCCCTCCCAGGAGGACCGGTTATCCGGTAGGGGCGAGCCTTGAGGTGACTGCTGGAGCACCCCTGGCCCCCAAAGATCTGGATTTGCTGATGAGACAGCGGAGCTTGCACCCTGAAACCTGGCTGCAACGCCGCCTGTGGTGAATGGAGTGACTTCACCCTTGGCCCCCATTGGCATTCCAATACAGCGAGAAGTTCAACCACCTGTGAGCTCAGCTTCACCGGAGTTGCACTATGGCATCTATGGTCAACGGAATGGATGTGTTGGGCCTTCTGTTTCCCCGTTGATTGGGGGACTGAATCCAACGAGGAGCGCTCCCCATGTGGATCTTCTGTCTGGGGGTCCATGGGGTGGGAATGGAGGAGGAAGGGAGGCTGATCAAACTGGTCTTCCATCTTGGCTGAGATCTTTGGCCACCACGCAGGAGACTATAAGAACAGTGGAGTTGACCAAGCTCCCTGAGATCAAGGAGGGCGAACTTGGATCTTTGGTTGTGGGCGATTGGATTGCTTTGATCAGCCCAACGATGCGGGATTTGAGCGGAAGCAGTTCAAAGTGGTGGGACGCAGTGCTCAGAGCAGCTACGGAAGCCTACTCTGAGTGGCTTCGTGCGGAACCGCTGCAGCGTTTGTATGTGGTTCCAAGGAATCCCATCGAGGAGGATCCTTCATGGGGAAGAGTGGAACAGCGAGGTCAATCTATGATGTTAGCTGCCTTGCCGGAAATGCTAAAAGCGGAGGTGTTGGCCAATCGGGCGACTTCCACTGTTGAGGTTCTTTTCCGCATCTTCACCCGTTATCAACCTGGTGGACTTGGTGAACGAGCTCTTCTGCTACGACAGTTAGTGGAGGGCAAGCAGTTGTTTGCCACGGTTGGAGAAATGATGGAACATCTGAGGGGGTGGAAGAGGTGGCTGCGCCGAGCGGTGGAGCTTCAGATTGCCATCCCAGATCCAACTTTGCTGGTTGGAGCGCTGGAGAAAATGGGCACGATACTGACCCATCAATCTGCACAGGCCTCTTTCAGGTTGAGCTCTGCAAGAGTCCTCTTACAGATTGACGTGAACCCTACGGTGCAAGGTGTCACCAGCTATGCCGATGTGCTCTTGGCTGAGGCAGAGTCGGCGTTCCATGGTGTGACCCAGCAAACCACTGCCAAGGTGAAATCTGTTGAGGTCAGTCCAACACCGAAGGCTGGAGGAACAGGTCTTGGAGCCACCCCTGAAGGGAAAAAGCCGACCCCGTCATCCAATACAACCACCAAACAGGTCCCTTGCAAGTACTTTTCTTCAGAGGAAGGATGCAAGAAGGGATCTGAGTGCACTTTCAAACATGATTGGAGTGCGGTTGAGAAGTCTGGGAGGTGTTACAACTGCGGATCAACTCAACACACCAAGAAGGATTGTGGGGTGAAGGCGAGGAAGCCTGGAGATGCAGGAAAATCAATAAAGGCGGTGTCTGGGGAAAGGCCAGGAGGTGGGTCTAAGGCATCTGAAGATGGAAAAGGAAAAGGGAAGGAGGCATTGGCACCCTCCATCAAGAAAGAAGCCAAGGTCGAGGATTCCACAGGAACAGAGAAGACGGCAGGAGCGCCGAAGAAGGAGGAGGATCCAGTCAAGGAACTGGTACAGGAGGCTGCTGGACTTTTACGTTCTCTACGGGGATCTGCGTTGAAGAAGGTTCAGGTCAGCTCACTTGAGGTTAGAAATCAGAGGGCGTTGCTCGATGGGGGGGGCCACCCATTGCCTCCGTCAGGCCAAAAGTGAGGCAGAGTGGCTCAATGCGAAGGAGGTCACCGTGCAGCTTGCACAAGGATCAACAGTCCTTCATTGAAAGCCTTTGTGGTTCAATATTTGGTTTTGGTTCAATCTTTGGCTGTTACTGCATATGCATCCCAGCCATGACATCATGCGCGCAGCCACTTGCTGCAGACTATAAGTGTGCAAACCTCAAGGCAAACTGGCCTACTTTTGCTTTAGAGGTAAGTGAGCAATTGGTGTCACAAAACTGCGCACAACACAACCTGCAAAACTGTGGGCAGCCATACTTGACTTGTGACACTTGAGCCAAATCGAAGTAAAGAAGGAAACTTCCTGAGTTACATTCTTATGTGTGTTTATTATGTATAAAATGGTTGCATGTATTATGTTGCCATATGCGTAATTTCCACTAACAAATATATATATATATATATCCTATATATACATATATATTTATATATAAGAACAAATGATAGTTTGGCGCTATGGGAGTCCTATAAAAAATCCAGAGTCTAGAGTCTATTCTTCTTGGTTTGTTTTGTGGGGCCAGCACTTCCAACCCAAAGATGTTGACAAACAACCAAACCAAACCGATGTTTGAGATTCCAATGGGTCAGTGGAAAAATGACAAGTTTCATATTTTGGATTTTCGAAAGACATTGGAATACAAACAAGCTTTGATGTTTGCTTTCCCGATTAGCCACCCAAGCTTTGATGTCAACGTTAAAATGGAACATCCTGGGAAATGATCAGAACCTATCAGGTTACATATAATATACTGTTATGATCAGAACCTATCAGGTTACATATAATATACTGTTTTTGATTTTGCCAGGATTTTGTTTTCGATGTAAGATTGGTGGCCCCTTGATTCAAGTGCCCACACGAAGATGGCATCCATATCCACCTGCGAGGGTGGCTGAAGGAGCAGTCTAACATGATAAACAAAATAGACTTCAGAATCTTCACAGGGTTCAAAAAGTATAGACTATCTAAATTTTAGAACCTTGAAAATTAGATATATACTTTTCAGATTTCACACGGACATGCTTCCTTGCAATACGCCATGGACGCACTGGCTGGAATGCACTGGTTTTTTTTCCTGGAGTGACTTGGCCGGTGCAAGTTTGGTGGGTCCAAAATCCAAACTGTTTTATCCTTCAAGTGTAAAGGGATGGTGCTACGCTCCTATTTCGAATTTCTGGAAAGGACTTTATCCTTCAACTCTTTCAGCATCATGTCACGGCAATGCATCATGTCAGCAAAGGGTTTGCCATCATTCATCATACGAGCCAAAGTCATAGCGATGTCGTGGTTCTCTTCAAACTGTGCACCCTTCACTGCAACCTGATTGGATGTTTGGAACTCATTAGTTTTGATTGGATTGGGAACCATTAGATGGAATTGGAGTGGATTGGGAACCATTGGATCAATTTGAATTGGATTGGGAACCATTGGATTGGATTTGATTGGAAACATTTTGGGTCCGATTGAGAACATTGGATTGGAGATGATTCTTTTATTGTGTAAAACCCCACCTGGCAAACTTGGTGTTCCTTTCCATCTTTGTCTGGACCTCGAACTGCTGAAGAATCTCGGGACTTGACTGGCTTGGCCCAGTAGCGGGGCCCCTCCTTCTTCTCCTTCTCATTCTCAACCGGGTTCTCAGCCAAACCTTCGCCAAAGGTTTCGCCACCTGCCATTGCTGCTGCTGGGCGTTTGAGCATCTTGGTCGCAGGCTTCTTGACGCAGCTCTCAACACTTGCTGGGGCAGCAGCACCACTCCCACCTTAAAAAGCTGATGGAAGGGAACCATGATTTATTATACATGTTTGGGGGTTTGATGGAGAATAAAGTCAAGGGTGGATATTTACCATGACCCTAACATCACGCTGGTCAGCTTTGGAAAAATATGAAAAGATATGGATGATATGAAAGATATGAATTAGTTTAGGCACTGGGTTTGGGTTTCGGTTCCCCTTTCTGCTTCGGGATCTTCACCTTCGGAGTCGGCTTGGGTTCAACTTTGGTTTCTGGTAGTCTTGGTTGCGATGGTGGCACAGGATCCTTTTCCCCATCACTATCCGACAAAGTATTGACAGTGTTGTACATTGCCAGCACTACAAAAACACTTTCTAATCAAATTTGAGCCAATATTTTCCTCGTTTGGTGATTTGTTGACTGCCAAAAGAGTAGCATGGCGCCAAAAACGTTGACAGAGTGTAGCGAAGCAAATGGAATCATCAAACCCCCAAGTGTTTTCACATCTCAAGCCCGATTATCAAACCCCCAAGTGTATAATGTTTTTCACTGCCACCAAAGCCTTCAATCAATCCCTCCCACTGGCAACAGAGTGGGATCCCAACTGCTGAATCTGAAGGCCATCAGAGCCAACGCGTGTTCTCACGCCAGATGTGCCACTTGGCAACTATGGGGAATCGCTGCAATGGTGGGCGAACCCTGAAATCAATGGACAACACTGTTGAAGATAAGATCTTGGGAAAAATGGAAACAATACTCAATCACAAAATTTAACAAGAATTCATGTTATTGAACATTTGTTGATCAGAATTGGGCACCAGGGAACACCCCTATCACTGCAACTTGTAAAAGAAGTCTTTCTCCAGTTTCACTCGGGAGACCAAATGGAGTTTTGGTTTCAATGCTTTCAAACACGCCGGGGGTTCAATTTGCATTTGAACATCCCACAAAATCTTTGCATGGGTCAAGCCATTGAGCTTGCTCATACGCCCCAAAAAACAGGCACCAGACGCAGCTCGTTTCAATGACCCTTCAGCCATTTGAGCATCAGTAAGGGCTGTCGGGGCAAAATGAATCTTCCCACCTCTCAGATTGGGTTGAACTTTGCATCGCATGAAGGCCTCAACCATGGTACCACTGCCATCCTTCAGTGCAACGTGTTTCATCCATGTCTTGGGGGGGTTTCAAAACAGAAAAACAAATACATAAGTAAGACAAGCCCATAAACATAAGTAAAGATATGTAAAGATACAAACATAAGTAAAGATATATACATATAAAGTATATAAACATAAGTAAAGATATAAGTACTTAAAATTACTTAAATATCAAGCCCAGGGCTAAAATATGATTGGGTTATTTTGGGACACATTGATGATTTGTTGGTGAAATAAAAACATACTTTGTTTGATAACGCAAGTCCTTGTCGACTTTCAAGGGCTCCACCACATGGCCTTGAACTCCAAGGTCAGGAATCGAATGCGACTGCATCGCCTTGAATCGCGCCTCGGCCAAAGTCATGGTGGACTTCGTGCTGGCAGCCGAATCCACCACCACCACCAATTGCACATCATTGTGGTACTGCCAGAAGATGACATGGTTCGGGTCTCCACCTGGTTGGGACTGGTATTTACAAGGGATCAAATAGGATGGAACACAAGTATGTGCTAGGTTGGGTCGGCAGCGACTTCTTGTTCTAAAAGTTTAGGTGTTTAGGCTCAGTGCTTCCTAGTTTAGACCACCCCATGCCTTCAGATGGCACAACTTCCCCAACATTGAACCCAAGCAGCTCCAAAGGCTCCAGCTGGAGACTTGCAGCTTTGTGGATGGATTCATCCAGGGACAGGTAGATGTCATAGTTCTTAGTGATGTGAACTGCTGGAAGGTGTCGCACTGGCTTGACAGTGAAGAGCCTGACTGCAAAATGCAAACATCTTTTTTGAAATAACTGTTTGCAAAACCGGTTTAAGACATTTGAGCCCTAAAATCAAAAAACAAGTTGAAAAGGGACTGGAGCATCAAAATGAAATAAATCCAGGCACACATCAGCAGACTTGAAATCAGCCTTCGCCGTGGCCGGCAACACAGCATCAACAACAGCCACAGGTTGATCGCCCACACTCATGTCAGGCCCATCACCAGAAGGAGCATTGCAGCCTGCTCCATCAGCATCGCCTGCATTCCTGCGAATCACTGGGGTGACGGTGGTGTTCACAAAGTCCCGGAATGAGGCCACTTTCCCAGCCCATTTCTCACCATACGACTCATCACCATCAAATTTGCAAACCACAACATCAGACAGGGATGGGGCATCAGCATCCCATGAGGTAATGGCCAGCACTGGTTTGTCGACCGGGGCGCTGCTCTCTGGCTCCTTGGGCCCAGCATCTGTGTGTGACTCCCACCACTCAGACATCAGAATGGCTTCCATGTGGCCAGTCAATGCCTTCTGAACAGAAGGCTCCCTGCTGATGCCAAAGTAAGCAATGCGAGGCTTTGCAGAGTCAGTCTCCCATGTGGACTTCAAAGACCAAGAAGCCTCGATCCAATCAGGAACAGCCTGAAGGTTGAACTCCACAATGTCCAGTCGGGCATCAGGCGAAGCAATTGGTGTGCCACCCACCAAGCTTTCAATGATCTTGCAGGCAGCCTTGACACCCTTTTGCTGACAACGCTCTGCTGGTGACAAGTTGTAAGCTTCAATGGCATCACCAACATGGTTCGGTGGAGTCAGGCGCTTCATCTCCTTGATGCGCATGAGAGGCACTTCAGACAGCTTGCCACGTGCAGCCAAACTGCTCAGCCAAGGGCTGTTGCTTTCAGGAACATGGTCGCTGACACAAAGCCGGCACCTTGCACCCAAAGGCCTCTTGTCATTTCCATGCATTTGGTCCACTGCAAAGTGGACAGCAATGTCAGTCTCCATGTTGAGTCCACTTCCAAGAAGAGCATCCTCAATCCTGCGGGTGGCTGCCAAGTTGGACTTGACACTCTGCCCACTGTACTTCTGTGGAAGAAGAACCAGGAGAGCATTCTGGCCGGATTGATGGAGGATATTGGAGCAAGAGTGGATCAAGGCATCAATGTCGGCCATGTTGGGAGGCACACTCATGTCGAGCACCATCAGCATGAACCTTCCAGCAAGGAAGGAATGATTTCAAAATTGGTTCCGGAAAGGTTTCCTTAAGAGGTTTAGGAAACCTCAGCATAGTTCTTTCAAAGGGTGGTATTGAAAATCTCATTGAAAGAATAAGGGCAACAGAGATTTTGAATTCTTTGATTGATCTTTTAGCCCTGCCTCGAATCAGCTTGGCATCTCAAAGAAGATCCAGCTTCCATGTTGGATCTGAAGGCTGCCAGTTCCATCTCAGCGCCACTGAGGGGGCCATTTCGGACTCGAATGGACTCCTCACAGAACTCCCGAACACGCTCCAAACCACGAACATACCTCTTGCGGATGTGGGTCAAAACCATGCCTTGCCAACTGGCTTTCCTCCTTGACTCAGTTTCAGTCCAAACCTTCAAGGCTTCGATGTCATCCTCCAAATCTGCAGCCATCTTCTGGAAGGTGGCCGTTTGAACTTGGAGATGTAGAGCTTTGGACTTTGCCAAAGCAGCCTGAAAGGGCCAGAATAACAACATGATATGTATCATTTTTTTGAAATCAAACTTGCAAACCAAGAGAAGTTGATATCCACTATTGAAAATCTTTTGTTGTTTCTTTGATGTGGTTTATCCACAGGTTCAAAAAAAAAGGGAACACCCAACCTTCTCCACCGATGCTTTGTGCTTGGAAAGGATTGCAGACAGCTCAGAAACTTTGGACAAGTCCAGCTGGGCAGGGCACTCCTCGCTCAAAGAGTAAAGGTAGTCATCAAAGACCCGCTTCTCGAACAAGGCAACCACACCAGGCTTCTCAGCATCAAAGGAAGCACCTGGAAGCTGGGTAGCCAACTCCGACATCAGCAAATCAAAAGCTCTGCAGATGCGAGCCATTCTTGCAACATCAGGTGCTGTTGCAGACTTCCGGAGGCCAGGTGGAGCTTGTTTGAAGTCAGAAACTAGCCTCTTGCAAGTCCTGACCACTGAGTCCTCAGAGTTTCGCATGTTGAGGCTCCAATCATCAGAGATCAGCTCAGGCTGGAATCCAACTCGAAGGTTCGGTGAGCCAATGGCTGCATGGGTCACGGGGCCTTTTGCAATGCCAAACTCAGCCACTGCATTGCCCAAGACTTGCCGACATTCCAAAGGAAGGTGATGAACCAAGTTGATGACAGCAGCAGACTCTGAAGGACCCATGCCGAAGACACTCTTGGGGTACTTCCCACTGTCAAAGTTGCCAACCAGAGAGCTCAGTTTTTCCCCATGCTTCAAACGCCGGCCAAGTTCATGAAGAGCGTTGAAACAGTTTGGCTTTGCCCTTGTCATCACAGAGCCCATAGTGAGATCTTAGTAGCACAATCTTGAAGCACATCGTAATCAAAAACTGTTCTCAGAAGAAAGTCTGTTTGAAGAGGACCAGGAACACTATATATAATTCATGTTTTAAGGTTGGGGGGGTTTTCACAAAGGGAAATGAGGACCTATTCCCACTCATTTAAAAACCAAGGTGCCACGGTTCGCATTGATGCGATCTAGCTCATTGGCATACTCTGCAGTCACCATCCCCTTAATGTTGCAGAAGTTCTGATAGCTCGCACTCAGGTTGTTCTTGTAGTAGTCGATGAGGTCGAACTCAATGAGAAGCTCAGCTGCATACAGCGCTGCAACAGCACGTGTCCATCCCTTCGTGAAAGCGATGGATTGGCTTTGAAAGGTATCATCTTGGATGGTTGCACTCTGCCAAGGCTCCAAGAAATAGCATTGGATAAGAGGTTGGATCACCAAGTACTCTGTTCCAGCCTGGGTCTGGGGATTGGTTCGTGGGCCTTGTAGCAAAATTAGCATCACCAAGTTCTTCATGGATTCCTGGATGACTAGGCCCTTGTTGCCGGCTTCAACATGATAGCACAACTGCCACAGCGCAACGTCTTTCACCCCAACACTCCAGTCAGCAGTTGAAAGGGGCTCCAACTCCGGAAAGTTCTCCATCAACTTGTGGGCCAACTTCGTGCGGTCATCAAAAGTGGGATAAGTCTGCATGAAGTACTCATGCACTGAACCGAAGTTGGAAAACATGGAGTTCATATGGCTCACCAACGCATCCCAAAACGGCATGGTAGCTATCACATCCTTGTGCTGTTCCACAGCATCACATAGCTCATCAGCTTTGCCCTTCTTGGGAGCCTTTGCCGAGGAATTGGATCCATTGCTGGGTCTTTTGCCCATGGTTGGAAGGCGCTTTTCGCTCCAGGTCTGCAATTTTGAAATAAAATGCTACTCACTTTCCGAGTGAAGCTGAAATGGAATTGGTTCTTTTCCGAGTAGTGCTCAGAAAATCATTTGGCAATCCTTTCAGTTTCTTAAGATATCAAAGGTTGGCTGCAAACCAAATTTTCCGATGAACCTAGACCGACTTCCTCAGAAACTGATATTGTTGGCCTTGGGGCTCATCAGAAAAAGCATGAAGCAACATCATGCTGATTTTGGAGGGCTTCAGGGAGAACATGGATTTTCCGAGGAACCTAGTCTAACTTCCTCAGAAAATGTGATTTGGATGGCCATGCTAAAATCTTAAGAATTTGATGGGTTGGGATATGTTTTTTCCGAGTAGTGCATTTTGGTGGTGTTGATTTTCCGAGCAACCCATAAATATTATCAGTGTCATAATCCCAAAAAACAATCACCAAAATGAAACCAAGAATAGCTTTGGGAATAGACCACATTTTTGGTGGGTGAAGGTGGAAGCTGGCAACTAGTTTCGCATTTGATTTCGGACGTGCAATCCACTACTGTAATGGCTCGAATTGGGCTCACCTCAAAAAACAAAATTGATTGAAAGAAACTGTAATATCCAACATGATATCTCTTGTCTATGTGCTACAATGGTAAATCCGAGGTGTCCCACAAGCAGCTTTCTCGGTTGGCCCCATTGATAATGGGCCATGGATTCGCACATGTTTCCATTGAACCCCTGGCAGTTTTGAAAAAAGCAACAAACTATGATAATAAACAAAAATGTTGGAGATGGCAATGGATTCAATAAGGGAGTTTGGAGATATGATTTCAATGCCATCTTGGCCAAAAGGGTTCTGTCGCTCCAGCAAGGTAAACTTGCACCAGCAGTGTCCAAACCCCTAAGGGAGAAATACCACAGCAACAAAAAATACTAGTTCTATCTAGTTTTTCTTTTTTGGGGCGTTGACACATAGGCGCAATCAACATCTATCAAAATTGCCAACCACTTTTCCACCATGGTCCAACAATGTGTGAAGTTCTATCATATCTAAGGATTGTCGATCAAGTACGTTCGATGATGAACTGGCTGGACTTCTGATGACCTTTGTGATCATCTTTGGATTTGCGACTTGGCTGGGCTTAGGTTGCCCGGATGATGTGCTCACCCATGTAACGGGCCCATGTGCGAGCCAATTGAACTGGGTACTTGGCAGTGCCCTTGGTTGGCCTAGATTTTTGGCCGGGCTTACCCCACCCAGAAAGTACAACATGGTTGTGTTCACCATCACATTTCAATCCCAACCTGGCCAACACAGAGCCACCGTCGATCTCGTAGTCAAACCATTGGAGGGTAAGGATGCGAGTTCGCTTCTTGTACTCGGCGCCAAACATGCAGTAGTCCACATCCACAATGTTCCACTTCTCTGTGCCCTTACTGGCCTTACAGGTTGTCCAATTCATTGTGGGGTTTGATACATCACTGCTACTATGTATGCATCTAATTGCAATCATCTGTCCAAAAACAATCAAAAACATTAATGATATAATTCCTGGTTTTTTGAAAAAGGATGACTCAGGTTGTGTTTGTTCGCCACAACTTACAGCTGCTTTGGGATTTCAAGTGTACAGATTCCTGGAGCCAATACAGCATACATATTATATGATGCATTAATAGATAGTAAATGATATTAATGAGTATATGTGTAATTAATATACTTTATATATATATATTCATATCAGATTGATTTGTTTCTATATGTGGGCCTCAAACATGTCGATGAGGTCTGGGAAGTACCACAGGACCGATGTTCGGGGGTTCTCGATTGAGACGAGGATGCGATTGTCAGAAAAGATCTGGGCCATCTTCACCATGTTTTTGATGATGTTGTTGGAAACAGTCAAGACATCGCACTCCATGCCAGGAATGCCCTCTGGGTGCCATTTGCTCCTGATTTTTCATGGGCTACTAGAAAATGATATAATTTCTTGACAAAACACACCCTTTTTGACCCGATTTTGGTTTAAAAGCTATAAAGAAAAGGGGGCAAAGTTGGCAGTCCTGAGTCGAGGATACCTCGCCTGGGAAAACGTGTTGCAGGGCGGGGCAAAATGCACGTAGTGGACCTTTTCCTGCACAATCTCGTTGGCGATCTTGATAGCCTAAGGCGCTCACTTGAGTAGGCCCCAGCAATCAATGCTTGATTCTCTGAGTTTGGCAAAACTGTTTCCCATTTGGATTTGCTTAACAACAAAAGATCACCCTAAGATGGTGGTTCCTTATTGGGTCCCCTATCAGAATTTATCATATAATATAAAGATCACACCAAGCATATGTTGAGTAACGGTCTCTTTGTTGCTGATATCATGGGTAGCCCCTCCAGTAATGTAGTCGACAGACATGGTGACAAAACCCAAAGTGCTCATCTCCTCGGCAAGGATGCCACTGCCTGAGAAGATCTCTGCCATCCTGAAGGCCCGGTCACGCTGGACATGGTCAAGGAAGGGTTCCTTACAAGCAGTGATAGGATCCTTCGGTTCAATCTCAACTTCTCATGGTTCATCCTCACATTCGCTGTCACTAAGATTCTGAATCAGGATAGACTTTGCAGTCTCCAAGAAAGAAAACTTTCGGTCCAAACCAGCACACTGTTTTTTGTGGGGTGGAGATGCCCCAGTGTCACTGTCACTCAGCTGCGGCTGACTATCCAGGATGGGCTGGCTGTCCTCAAACATGTTGCCAACTCTAAAGAAAGTCGGTCCTACTTGTGGCTCCACTGGCTTGAGTCGCTAAATTTGCCAATCAAACCATGTATCATTTGGTGACATGTTGTTTCAATTTTTGGTCAAAAAAACCTTCTTTGTTGAGGGATCATGGATGAGACTGCCCGACAGGTTGATGTGGAGATCATCAACACCTGAAACCTGGCCTTGCTGAGAAGTTTCTGGATCACTACATCCTCTAGTAACTCTAGTAGATGCCGGAAAACTGTTTGGAAAAAACATGTCACTCTTTCACTCGCTTAGCGGTCAACGTCATCAAACTCTGGTTGAAGTGGCACTGATGCATCATCCTCCAGGTCTTCAACCACAGGGGGATCTGGGGAACTAGTGCTTTCAGCAGCAGCCCCTGCTGCAACAATGCCTTGAAAAGAATTTTGATTTAAGGCCGCCATGACATTGGGGTTCAATTTGTCCCACAATTCATAGCCCTTATTGATTGCATCTGTCCACGTAACCCCTTCTTTTTGAAGAGTTTTGGCAATCCCACAAATCACATCCATTCGAGGGTTGGCAACCAATTCTTGGGGTCCACCAGGGTTCCCCCTCTCAATCCTAACATTGCTAACACCGGGCTCCAAAGCAGCCACTGGAACAGTATTTCCCACTGGTTGAACTTGAAGCGCTGGTCTTGAGGATGTAGTGAGAATCGAAACATCCAAAGGAGGAACAAGAATCGCTGATTCAGTCACCCAATCTCGCAAGTATGAAGCAGCTGTTGTCAAGAAGAAAGGGCTGGGCTCAACTGCATCAGCTAGGTTCAAGATCATCGTTTGGTACTTCCGCTCTTTGGGACGTCGAGGAAGGAAACCTTTAGGAGGGCAACAAGATTTTAGATGCATGACTCCCATCATTAGTAGACATTCATCATACAAACATGATTCTACATCAGTGATAATTTTGTACCACCAAAAGAAAAAACATTTCTGACATGACAGGCCTGATGGCATTGACCCAGGAAGTCTCGCAATATCATCAGCAGTGAGGTAGGTAATGCGAGTTGAGTAGGTCGAATCACTCATCCACTGTTTGCACCTGCAACCAGTTTGTGAAGTCCACCCACCCAATCAATTTGTTCTTACATATATATATGTAAATCACATTGGTTCTTATGTATATAACAAATCAATTTAATCTCCAATCACATTTGGGTGTTTGAAGCAGCAAGCACAATCCGCCAAGATGCAATAGGACTGCGTCAGTTTCACCGCCAGCAGTTCGAAGTGGATCGCCAAGGGACAAACCTTGGGCCAAGAGAGCCATGACACATTCCTTGTAAAGTTCCATGATTCTAAGTTTCTAAGTTTGAAGATGAAGATGTATGTTTCTATTTTTTTGATTCCACAATAGCCCCAACAAAAAAAATGATGTATCAATCGTACAAATAATATGGTTTCTTTAATCAGCCAAACAACTATTTCGCTGTCGAAACTCGAACCAATGGGGCGCTGATGGCCCAAAGATACCAACAACTTTCTTTCCACACTTCGCCAGCCACGATTTCCAATCTCTGATGTAATCCATCTTGAAACAAGACTTCAGTGCTTCATGTGGTCGGTTTTCCGGTTGAGAAAGAAATTTGGCATTGATGACATCGATCAGTTTTGCTGGAGACTCCGCCACTGCGACTTTGTTCTTCACAAATCCTCATTCAGTTTCAAAGACCCCCAATTTCTATGTATCTTGTTAGAAAGTATGTGTTTTTATGTTTTATATGTTTTTCCCTCTTCAAAATTGAAAGTGGTGTTGAAGAAACCTATTGCTAATGAATCCATGGCTCGACTCAATGCTCCAAACCACTGATCCACATCCTCATGGTTTTGAATTGAGTTGGAAAAGTTTCAGCATCGTTTACTTGGAATCCCAAGAAAAGTTTGCTCAAATAGAAAATCATGACAAATTGATTTCAGGATCCTCATGAGTGTGTCCTACTCGCAAAAACGCCAGCCGGATTTCTCCGACAAGGCGCTTTTGCACGAGCAGGCCACACATGGCCATGACAATGTTGTTCTTGTTGGATGAACCTGTATTGTCCAGTTGTACAGTCAATGTGCAATCATGCAGCTGAACCCCATGGTTGGCCAACACTGTAAGTAGGTGGAGTAGCAACTCACATGTCGTCGAACCACCCTTGGAACAGTCAGCATCTGATACTGATAGCCAGGCTACATAGCCATGACAGAGAAGTCCCCAAACATGGAGTCTTGGTATTTGATATTTGTCGAAATGATGGCTGTCGAAAATGCGACTTCGTGGTGTCGCATACTTTCCTTGGTCCATCCCATCAATTATGCAGCAGAGTTGCTTCTGCTGCAACCTGCTGGACGCTCTCAGCGCTCAATAGATCTTGCGATCCATCAGCTGCGAGGCCAAATGTCTGTCATAGAGTGCTCTTTGGCGAATGCGTCGGTTCAAATCAGCTGATAGGTGTTTGATCAACAGTTTGTGTTGTACACAGACAGGGCACACACTGAAGAGGTAGCGATCTCTAAAAGAAAGTTTGTGAGAAAAATCATTTCGAAAACAGCTGTGAAAGCATTGCCATGAGCACTTTTGACCAGTTGTTGAACAATATTGGCGCCAAAGGTCAAAAATAGTTCCAGGAGGCAGGTAACGAACCTCTACCTCTTGCCCAGGGATCTTTGACGATTGTGATGGGGTACATCGATAAGAATCTTCATCTTCACTCCAAACATCACCAGATTTGGATTTCTTGGTGCTCTTTTCATCCAAGGGCAGTGTTTCAGCGACACTGTCATAAAGGGATTGCAAGTATGACCAAACTTCAGAGTACACAGGTTTGGGATCCGCATGAGGTCTTTCCATGTAGCGAGAATCCATGGGTGCCTAAGTACTGCTTTCAAAAGATTCCCAAGTCTGGGTGACCATGATACCCCCATCAAAGTTGCATAGGCGGCTCTGCACACAGGTCTGTTCAAAAAAAAATATTGCATTTTGGAATCACTACTAACAGTAGTTTCACCACCACCACCAGGCTGAATAATTCCCTGAGATACTGCAAGCTCCCGCAAGTTGTCGAACAACTGAGTTGAGGGGAAGGTAGAAAATAGAAGTCATGAAATTCCCATTGGATAGACATGGATATAGATATAGATGCATATATCCTTATATATAGATATATTATGTAACATATTCTTACATACATAAAGATATATATATATGTATATATATATAGAGAACAGCATTAAAGTATACTCCCTTTCAAGAAAAATCAAAACAAAGACCCTGTGTTAGCAGTATGAGCTATTGGATACTTGGTGCACCGTAGACCCTTTTCCAAGGGGACAATCATTTAAGAAAAACATTTGAAGCAAAACTGAGAAACATATCGGTCTTGGTCTAACTTGTGCAACTCCCGGAAACTGGACCGCCACGCTTTCAGTTGCTGAAGCAAAGGATTTGTTCGAAAAGGTTCAAAACAAGAAACTCGATCTCGCTTACGGCTTTGGGATTTGCAAAGACAAGGCTTCTTCAACTTGTCCTCCACATTATCATCAACTGGTTCACCTTCAACATCAACACCATGTTTTCTCTTTCGGGGCAACACTGGTTCTTCACCTTACTATTTGAAAAACTGGAGACACCCTGCCACAACCAGCAACGCCAAACTTAAAC